TTTATCTCTCAGAAGATTTGTATTAAACAACATTTATCTCTTTTAGAGAAGAATTTCAATGTCATTTCTTCATTAACTTTACATTGCATGTGTATTTATTATTACAATTTCCATAATATGTTCTCTTCTGGAGATTAATGTCAATGGGGAGACATGTGTTGTGCAGTTGTACGTTTTTCCTTCTTCTCCTCTTTCTGATGTGCTGACATATAATAGCCTCAATCAAAAGAATTGGTATACAAACGTAAATCACTTGCTTGTAATTCTACCAGGTGGTGATCTTCTGGATCTTTGAAGACTTAAATAGTGTATTTGGTGAGCTTCTGCTCACCTAATACTTGACAATAATATATAAGTTATTTTGGTGAACTTTTGGTCACCTATTACTCTTTCGTATGTATAAAAATCAAAACCTATTAACTCTTGAAATTTTCATCAACACAAATCATTATAGCTCAATCTCAATGTTATGTCTTGCCATTTAATTCATTTCCATATATCTAACATTGAGAGAGTGTCAGCACATTATCATATGAAACTTCAGGTTTCCATAACGGGTATTTATTAAATCCCGGATGGCCTAATTTTTTAATTATCACATCCAATCACTTTTTCCTTTAGTATTTAAATTATGGTCAGTTTTATAATAATGGTGATCACCTTATTAGAGATACTTTATGCATGGCCATGAGTATGATGTGATATAAGTACACCAATGTGTTTCTTTCTGCAATTGGCAAGACAATTAACTAATACTCATACTCCACTGGAGGATTGATTGTAATCTTGATACATGCTTATCTTGTTGGACAACATTTTATACTCTTCTTGAGTACTTTATATAGTACGTCATAACACATTTTAATGTACTAGAAATAATCTCTTCAAGAGATCCATCAAAATGTGTCACTTTCTCAAATTTGTCTTTGTCAATTATTGCTCCTTTCCTCTTCCAAGGATTCTTACCGTTGTTACCCTTTGGATTACCACACTTCAGGTGTGCTAGTTTCAATAGCAACTGATCTTGTCCTTCAAGGACATCAACTTAATATGTACATTTATAGCTAGTATATAGGTAATGACATTTGTTCATATCCATTTTCAGGATGGTATCATTCTAAATATTTGATTATCATGTGGCCACCTCTATTAAATAAATCATTGATATTTAGGCTAGTGTATGTACCAAACTGACCATCAACATATTTAATTATTCATGTGCAAGGATTACATAAAAACCATGGGATAAACACTATCTCCCCCTAATCCTTGCATATGGGGGTATAAAAATAGTCCAACAATCTTTAAATCCCTTGCTCCTTTTAAGTCATAAATTCTTGTAACAATGCATGTATCAAACAAAGCAAAGCTATTCTTTTCATCTTGCCCAATTACATGAATCTTTATATTGAAAATTCTCAAAATATGGGCATAGCGAATACATTATTCAACTAATTTATTAATCTTTTCACATTGTCATGCTTAGATTAATTTTATTTCAAATGAATATTATGTACTCATGTTTTAATTATTATGAACTTTACATGAATGATAATCATCATGCAACACATGTACCTTTTAATCATAAGGCTCATTCAATTATTGTTCATGAACTTATCTGGGAATGAGTAAATTATTTATCAACATTCATATATATATATATATAGATCAAGTTCAATATCTTAAATGTGCACCCAAAAGACAATATTAGAACTGATCAAAAATATTTTGTACGTTTTTCTAATGACATTGTGTTTATAAAATCACTTTGCTCTTGTGAACGATGGACATTATCAGATCATGTATATATGACCCTTCATTAGTTTAAGGAGCTTTAGGTCCTTACGTGTGAACACTTCATGTTCAATTCATACATTATTTCAACTTCATGTACATACGCATATAATATATTATATATAATTGAATTAAAAAAAAATTACATCAACCAACATAAAATATTCATATTAAAACTGTGATAGTCAATTATAATGCATGTACATGAACAATATCTAGAACTTACAGTCTATATATGGAAAGGAGTTTGCAATTAGTATATTAGTAGTACATTACTTGTTGTCAAATTCATCTTCAAATAAGTGTTAGCTAGCATGAATTGAGGTTGAACGGGCCAATAAAAATATGACATCATGTATATATAAATAATCTCAATCATAAAATTTAAAGTACTTTTAAGAGTTTCAAAGAATCACAAGTAGATCATTCCTCGTATAGATTAGGCCGCGAACATTAATCATATACTCATCATAGTATTGAATGATTTTAACAATATCAAGAAGGCTCAAGTAATTAACTAAATTTGAAACCTAAAAATATACTCGATAACATATACAAAAGCTACTTCAAGCAAAATAGGAAACTAAGATCATATATATAAAGTTTAAACAACCTATGCAAGCATTACTAAATATTGACTTCTAATTAATAGATCTAACAAATGTATAGAGTATATGGACTTATAAAATATGACAAAATAAATTAGTATCAACAGATTAACCAAAAATACAATATATATAGCTTAGACGAATGTTAGTGCAAATATAATCCCCTTGCACCCAATACAATATATCTTAGAATTCTACCAACAAACAACTCCTCTTTACACCAACCATTATCATCATCCACAACAAAAGTAAGCCACTTAGATTTTATTTTTTATTATTGAATTCATGAGAAACAAAAATGATAATATAAAAACCATTGACTAAAACAATTCGATCAATCAAAATTTAACCAAATCAATAACAGGCCTATGAACAATAATCTGTGAGTAAACCATATCATATCAATCATATAATAATCCATATACACCTTAGATATGCCATAGAAAAAAAAGACATAGTGATTAATTGCGGCAAAGAGACGCTGCGTGAAGTATTACCTAACTAATAAATTATAATCGTTATAATCATTAAATTCTGGAAGATTTAATTAGTTTGTTATATGATACAATTATGTGTGATACAATCATTAAATTCTGCGTGAAGTATATAGATATATCAATACATAGCCGCATGCATAGTAGACAAGGCATAATAAAAATTAAGAATTCATACATAGGTGTTGCAGACTACTATGATGAAAATAGAAACGATCGCAATTAAAACAAAATAAAGTCTACGTCAACAAAAACTCAAGCAGTACTACTATAAATAATTCATTGGCAATTTACAGTGAACAATTATTTTATGCATCAAATGTAATCCATTAAAGCATATATATAATATTAAAAATATGATTACACTTTAAATAAATAAATAAAATTAAATGGTGTCCTTGAATTTGGGGGACTCATATTACGAAGTATATATCATCAAGAATAATTGATGCATGACGAAATATATAAACGAATGTGCGACAATCATGTTTATAATTATATAGCTTCAAAATTCATAATTTAGTAGAAATAGAATAGAAATGTAGGGTACCTTTTCTAGCAGAGAAATTGTAACTCGGCTATGGTTGCTCAATAAGCTAGGGTTTGGTGCTGATAACGTGTTATGAAATTAAAGAGAAAGTAGAGGAGAGAATAGATCTATATATTTATTACTCAATGATGTAGGAGTATATATATGATACAATTAGGGTTTCCTTGGAGAATAATCAACATAGTATATCTAGAATATCCTAGAATTATCATAAGGGTATAATGCAATTTGCTGATTTGATTAGCTAAAAAAAAAAAAAAAAAAAACATTGATAGGACCTCAATCACCTCATCATATAGCCTATATAGGAAGTTGAAGATAATTTGCTAAACTTAATATTTATAATAATTACAATAGAGGTTCCATCGGGAAAAAAAAATCGCAATAATGTCGCCAATCTCGTCATTAGAGTACAACCTTCCTAAAGATTCGAAGATTCGGGTCGGGTTAGTAATAGGTTGGGTTGAATTCGGGTCGGGTTAGTAACAGGTCGGGTTAAATTCGGGTTTTGACGGGTTAAAACAGGTTTGGGTCATTCTCGGTTCAGGTCGGGTTCAGTTCAGGTCAATAATTTACGGGTTATATTCAGGTCGGGTCATCTCCAGGTCAGTTCATGCTCGGGTTTGGGTCTCAAATACTCGGGTTTAGGGTTGGTTTCAAGTTGGGTCATATCGGGTTTGGGTCACCATTTTTCTGGGTTTAAACAGGTTGGTTAATAATTGGATTTGGGTAAATTTTTCGGGTCGGATTAGCTTTTGACAGCTCTACTCCCAAGTTTGGATAAAAGTTTTTTTTTTTTTTTTTAGAACATTTGCTAGAAGATCGGAGTACCCTTACTTTTTCCCATATTATTAGGTGTCTATTTTGTAAATAATGAACCAAAAAACTGAGGTGGTTAAGGTGATGTTGCTAACATTTTTAAAAATAATTGGCAAGCTAATTTTATATTCAAGTAAAATGTTATTTTGTACCTACTAACATTTTCTAACTATTTTTTAAAAATAATAGCACGAACTAAGAATATTATTGACAATTTATACTGACACCATTTTCTCACCCCTTATAATCCTAAAAACGGTTTTTAGACTACTCATGAGATTTTCTTTAAATTTTATTCATCCAATAGCTTGATAAATCATTCAAGATGAACAACTAGATTTTTGAAGAAAAAAAAAAATGCTGTACTCTCGTGTATTTCGCTTTTCCATGGTGTATTCCCTTTGAAAGGTTCACATGGTATCGTATCCTCTAGTCTACTATGCCATTGCCGTTAACCTAGCATTAGTAATTACTCTAAAAGGATTTGTTAAGGTCCTGTTTGGTGATTAGTTGATAGCTGATTGAAATAACGGGTTGTATTAACTTGTTTGATTAACTTGTTATATGAGTTGGTTTAACTAACTGGTTGTAAATAGTTGATTGTGTAAAGTGTGATAAAAACATATTCAAGCAAGGATACAGTGAGGAACTTTCAATTACAAGAGGTACTCCCTTTATCCCTTTTTTTTTGCCTCACTTGGCTTTCATAGTCTTCAAGTGGAATATTGTTGGATTAAACAATGTGACGAATCCAACAAGATTCCATTTGAATATATTATCTCTTATAAATTAATGAGAATATACAGTTAAAATTTCAAAGTTTGACCCAATTATTTACGATGGAAAAAAAAAATTAGAGACGAAGAGAGTACAACGAAAAAAAGCAAAAATCACAAGATTACACTATATAAATAAAAATAATAGAGAGTGAGAGATAGCTTAAGAGATCCTCGAATCGATTCTCATCTCCACGCTTTGTGGCTCTTTAGACAACAATAGAACCAAAAAAAAAAAAAAAAAAAAAAAACATTTCATTGCAAGTCCTAACGGTTTATTCCACCGATTAGTAAAGGCGGTGTGGGTTGAATACTTATATGGTTTGTTGATAACACCAAAAACCATCCAACCTGTCGCACCTTCTCCAATATTACCTTCATTCGTGTGACACATTCAACAATCAATAACTTGTTCAGCAATCCGCCATTGATGACCTCATCATGCTACCTCTGAAATCTTCTTCTATCAGCAAAGATACCCAGGTATTCTTTGCCTCCATTTTCTCCCATTTCTTTACTTTATTCTTCCATTACTTTCTAGAACTTTCATTGCTGAATCTCCTAAATTAAAAATTAACAATTTGACGACTCCAATGTAGCCAAATTCATGTTTACTTTGAATTTTACCTGCTCCTGTAAGCTTCAATCTCAATTATTTATATATTTTTTTAAAATATTTAGCGGTATTAATTATCTATTTATCTTGTTTTCAGCTTCTAATTGATTGTATCTATAATTATCAATTTAGCCCTTTTAGTTTTATCTTCCCTATTTGTTCAATTGAATTAATATTACTTTGTCAATCTTTAAAATTCTTAACAGAGCTCTATTTTGTTTGTTTGATTGAATTTGAATTCGTGTTGTCTGGCATTTATATATTGATCTTAAAACTTACATTTGATTCAAATCAAGGGTTTTTCGACTTCTCTGCACCTTTGTGATTAGTCTTGTACGAATTATGTAGCTTTTCCATATTATAAGATAAACACAAAAAGTGTTTATAAGTTTAAGGGGTGGTTGATTACGAGCTTTTGGAGCAAATAGAGATGTTTGGCCATTTGTAAATGCTCTTCGGAGTGTTTGGTTACTTGCTTTTTGAAATACGAGATTTTTAGACCCAAAAAGCTCCATAAAAAAACTCATATGAGGAATATGAGCTTTTCGAAAGAGCTTTTAGCTTTTTGGTTGTTTTATACTCTAATTACCAAACACTTTTACACAAACAATTAATTGCAATCAGCTAGTCAAAACAGTTAATATCAAGTCAAAGCAGCTAATGTAAACAACTAGCAACTAGTCATAACAGGTAAAAGCTAATTGTCTAACAGGGCCTAAGTAAACTTGAGAAGCTTGAAAGTTTATGTAAACATGGAAGATGGAACATTGTGACACCATAGATATGATAAATGGCATTAGTCATATTCTTTTTGTTGTTGTAAAGAGACCCACAAAGGGCGGTGACTAGACACGGATTTGGTCACCACCCACCACTATTTCAACCAAGATAGATGACATACTCACTGATAGCATCAACCATTGATATGGAGTAATAGATATGTGCTTCACACTGTTTGAGGAAAGTGCCATTTTTGTAGATATAGATTAGACACCGACAATTTTCCATCTCCAGGATGAAATGCTTGTAGATTTAGCAAGTTATTCCATATCTGAAATAGTTCTTTACTACATTGATTAAGACAAGGCAACTAAAATGAAAACAACTTTAAGCTACTTTGCAGATTACAAATCATAGCTACACTCTCTTTTCCCCTCATTGAGTGACACTCAATTGTGTAGCGTGAATGGTTGCTGTTCCTATTTCTTATTAATGGTCTATGAGCCGACTCATTGTTAGTTCATTACATTTTCCTCACTGCTCTCCCTTGCTTGTAATGGCTGCAAGAGTTTGTGAGCAGCTGAGCACAACTTGTGGAATCATTTGAGTAGTGGATATGCTATAGATTGCCTTTCACAGATTTGTGATCTTATTTTCTTTCTCAGATTTGATTTTCCTCTTCAACTTTTAATGATAGTTGCATGTAGTATATTGGATACTACGTATGTTTTTGTGCAATCGGCATGTCAGCCTTTTAAAAGCTGTGTGCTGAAAACTATTGTATATTCAGCTTGTTTTCTGGTTTAGTGTTCAGTTGTTTTAGCTCTAAATTCTAGTTTTCTGAACCTAATGTTGATTTTACATTCTAACAAAGTCCTCATAGAAGCTGCTCCAAGTCGTGATATGTAAATGAAGATAAAGTAACTCCACAAGCTTTAGAGTTGAGCTCTAGCTCTAGGCCTCTAGCTCAACTGCTTGAGTTGTGCTTGACTCAACTGAGCTTTGCTTTAGCTGACTTTGTATACGAAGGAGCTTACTGAGTTGTTGGTTAGGTCATTATAACCTGACTTAAATTATAAATTCAATTTTTTTTTCAGAGGTGGAATGAGAATCTAAGTACTCAGGGTAAAAATAGTTACACTTTCATCTCATGAGCTGCTCTATGCTGATGGTCAGGTGGCATTCATTATGCGGTGTTTCTGGTGTTAAGTACTTAAAGTTGCTCTGGAATACTTAACTTGAGGAGTGTTAGCAAGGCCTTAGAATGATGATAGTTTGCTCTCCTATCAAGACTTGCACCAAAAATGTGCTTCCTATTAGTGGGTGTTTTCAAAAGCAGACGAGAGGCCATGTTCATAATATGGGATCCCCCACTGCATCCAGTTCATGCTGTCTCATTTTGAAACAAGGAATCTCCAAAATAAGATATTCTCGAATTTTTGTCTCCAGACAGTCATTATGGTTTTCCAATTGTAGCTTCCGTGCATTTCAATGGATTCAGTGCAAATCTGGTGTATCCAGTAAGAAGGGATCATGTCCTTTATTAACGGCTAAAAGTTCAGCAAATGCTAGAAATTCTCAAGAGACATCAATTGGTTTCTCATCCTGGCCTCGAGATGCTAGTGTAAACATTTTTGTGCCAAAAAGAAGACTGCTGTCTGATTTCAAATTAAAAGTTGGACCATTTTCTTGGTCAAAGGGATATGGTGGTGTTGGTTTGATTTCTGGATTACTAGTTTGTTATTCAGCTTCAAATCCAGTGCATGCTGAAGCTTCAGAGGATACAGGAGACAAAAAGGAATGCACAAATCCATCAACTGACCATGTTTCCCATGGAAAGAAAGTGTACACCGATTATTCTGTCATAGGTATGAGAGTATATGATGACTTATGACTGTTTCAATTATATCTAATTGCAAATACCAGATCCTCTAATACTTCCTAAGGTTCTTGAAGTTGGTAAAACTTTGCAGGCGTAAAAGATATCAAAGAAGCATCTATATTTAGTCTACCCACATTTACAATTATTATTCATATGCATTTTGGGGCAAGTAACAAAAGAAAATTTTGTTAATTTTATAGGATGGGTTTGATAGCTTTAACGCAGACTGTAAAGAGACATGTATGTCTTCCTCAAATTTTTATTTGACAGCTGATATAAGTTGGAGAATGACTATTCTGTGTGCTGTTTGTGTATGGAGAAGACTAATGCCTCTCTCCCATTCTAATCATTCCTCTGTTCAACCTCTGTTCTACAATGTTCTATAATATTATAAAATAGTACATTGTGTTACAAAGGGAAAAAATCAATATTGGATATTTCTTCAAAATCTATTCTTATAAGAGTTCAATTATCTTTATAAATATGTAAAAGTAATAATTAATGGTCAAGGTTGTAACTTGAACTCCATAAACAGACATGGAGAGTATTTATATGCTATGTGCTGGAATAGTTTCTTTAGCATGGGCAACATGATTTTTCACTGCTTGTGGTGCAGGAATACCTGGAGATGGAAGATGTTTATTTCGTTCTGTTGCTCATGGGGCTTGTTTAAGGCGTGGCAAACCTGCTCCAAATGAAGGCCTTCAGAAACAATTAGCTGATGAGTTGCGGACTATGGTAGGTCAGTCTATGAAGTGTATGGAGATTCATGACCAACTGTATATGTATTTAGTTTCTATTTAATAGGATTAAACTGAAAAAAAAATCATCAGTGTTTATAACATTTTACGTTATTGAAGAGAACCCCTCACCTAGACTGTTATTTCAAATTTCCAATTATACTTCTTGCAAATCCTTGAACCCTCAGGCTACTATTCCAGATAAATACATATGTACATGTGGTAGAAATCAAAATTTGTGTTGATTCTTTACATCTCAAAAGGCTCCATATTATATTATGAATGATGTCTGCCACCCACGAGTGATTGTAATGATGTAGTTTCATTTTTTAATCTTATCTTTCAATTTGATCTCTAAGGTACGAAATTGCCTCAGTTGAGTTTAGTTTACCATGGCTAACCTCTCTCTTGCTATGACTTTAGATATCATAAATGATTTAACATTTAGAATGCATTTTCGTACATGACACCAGAATCTTGCTTTAGCTCAGCCAAAATCATACCTGGTGGCAATTTAGCATTATCAAACATGAATTTGCTCATATGTGAATAACATGATGGTTTCAGGTTGCAGATGAATTTATTAGAAGGCGACAAGAAACTGAGTGGTAAGTATTCTTTATCATCCCCATTTATCTCAGAGTAAGGGGCAGTTCCTCTTCTGTAGTTCCTATGTTTCTGGTCATTCTGGTAGATTGTCTAGGGTAATGGGGCCCAAGGAGCTGAAAATACAATAAATCAAAATTCTAGTAGCCAACTTCATTTTCTTGTTACTCTAGGTAATTGATTGTTAGCTTCATTAGGCTAATTGTGCTGTAGTTGTCAGTAGATCGGTGCTTAATTAATCAAGGGAATTGTTTAAAATATATGAAAATGTTATTCATCAATGGTACACTAGTATATGTGTTCTTTTGCTTTGCACCATAATGAAGTGAAACAATTAAACTGTCTGGGCCTCTTTGTCAATGTGAAGTAGCTGATGGGCATCGTATTTCATCTTAAAGTCTACTTAGAAAGTTCTCTGTTGACCCAGGGGTAATGTATTGGTATCCTCTCCCTCCTTTCCAACTCCAAGAATAAAAAGTAACTTTTCCCTGGGTGGAGGTCTATTTTAAGTGTCACGGGAGAAAAAGTTGATGTAGCTGTATATATATACACACTTGCCAGAAAAATATTATACGTAGTAGTTGGTTAAAGAAAAATACATAGGAGATTCTTCTGTATTATGTTTTTTCCCTCTTTACTTGCCATTTTGAAAGTTGTTATTCTTTGTTTACGAACTACGGTTCTGGACAAGTGAAAGTTCTTAATGGTATCATGATGACAACAGGTTTATTGAAGGTGATTTTGACACTTATGTTTCACAAATACGGAAGCCACATGTATGGGGAGGTGAGCCTGAGTTGCTTATGCTCTCCCATGTGTTAAGGTATGATTCTTATTGTGATTCGCTTCGACCAGTGATATTGATGGAGAGTGTTGCTTTGCTACAATCTTTTGCTCTATAATATAATCATTCTTTGCTGCAAATCAGTGCATTAAGGATTTTAACCCTTAGTGTTATCTTTCGCAGGATGCCAATTACAGTTTATATGCGTGATGACAAATATAATGGACTGATACCCATAGCTGAGTATGGCCAGGAATATGGCAAAGACAACCCAATACAAGTTTTATATCATGGTTATGGTCATTATGATGCATTACTAATACCTGGAAAGAAAGGTACCAAACCTAGGTTGTAGCTTCTTTTCTATCGACGACTACTAAAGCTGCCAATTGCAAGACCACAGGCAAGATGAAATTATTTGTCTGTCTGTCGTGGAGCCATTTAGATTAACAAAAGATTTCCTGTATTGACTTGCTGGTGATGTAGCATATGGAGCTTAAGATGGGTAGAGTTACAATCTCCAAGCACTGGTCACTGGTGAGATATATTTATATATTCTTCCTTTATTTGAATTAATTTCGACTACAAAGTACTATATGAAAATTGAGAATAGAATTTGGTTTTTAAATCATTTCCGTGCTTACTGTAAATTCTGATTTTTATTTTTATTTTATTTATTTTATTTTTTATTATTATTTTTTTTACCAATATAAATTCTGAGTTAATGTGCTTAGTTGCATCAATTACTATCATGGTGTTTGTGGTGTCTCAAGATCATTTAGTATTGTTTAAGGCATTTAGTCTAAGGTTAATTCTAAAATTTGAAGTTTTAGACTTTAATTCGTTTTTCTCGTAGAATTTGTTTTAGCCTTTGGTGGTTGTAAATAGCTCAAAGCATAACTATTGTGAATTGGATTATGATGTTGTACTCTGTCCCTAAATGATCGTCCCATTCTTAATTTTCAATTTATTAAGAGTTGTATTGAGTAAATAGGAAATTTTTTGTTTAAAAAATAGTATGTACGGTAGTTGAGGGAGAGGAATGGCTGAGATCATGCTAACTAAAATGAGACAATTTTTAAGTTACAGAGAATTTGAGAGGGGTTTGCTATGGTTTCCAAGTTTCGGAAAAGTATTAGCGCATAGCACCTATGTACTTAGAAAGTGTATAGGATGACACTGGTTTTCTAGTGGTACAATTCAAAGTACAAAATGTACGTACCACTTTGATTAAATGTACCAATGTGATTTCAGTGGTACATTTTCGGAGTATTAAATGTACCACTAGCACAATTAAATGGAATATTCAAGTTTTCTAATGCCTAGTAAATTACGCTTCTGTCCTCCTATACACTTCGTTTGTCAATAGGTGCTATGCGCTGATATGCACTCTCAAGTTTCTGAGTCTTATTTTAAATGAACACATGAGATTCTAGTTGCAAATTGCTTTGCCGTCTATGTATACTCCGTTCTTCACTGCTATTAAGAAGTCATTTTTAAGGAGTTAAGTTCGAAATCTTTGAATGTTACAATTATTCTTCACTGTTTGAATTTTTACATCTATGTTATATGCTTATGTCAATGTAGTATTTTGACATATTCATAATTATTCAAAAAATATGATGATTACTTTGAACACCCTAAAATGGTAATAGTGGTTTTTTAATCACATCATATCATTCCACATGTCATAACCACCATTTGTCTGCCTATTTATAATTGTAGTGATAGAAAATGTTTAAATGTATAATCGATTAGCATATGACCCCCCACCCCCCCGCCATCATAGTCAAACTCACTCATGTCCTCACCAAATCTAATTTGGAGTATTCTTACTTTATAAGATCTTTTTGACAAGAGAAGAATTTCGTGAGACTCCCTATTTTTTTTGTTATTACAATTGTTTTGGTAAGTGATTATAAAACATGACATTTTGAAAATATGCGAGTTAATTTCAAAGTTATTATATGTAGTATATACGAGCAATAACATAGTTATAATTGACCTTGTTTGATATTCGATTGTTAGTTGTTGGATTTAGTTTGAACGACTGTTAATGTCAGTAGTTACCTAAATTGGTTATATAAACATGTTTAGTAAAATCACTGTGTTAGTAACTATGCAAAATGATCTTGAGGAACATTACTATATTCAACTAGAAGTGATTTAATCATTGAAATTTTATCTACTCACTTTGGTTTTTAGGATTTCTTTGTTGTCAATGGGAGATAATAAAAGATGAAATTAGTGGTACCATTTACAGGGAGTAGACCGTTTATGATACGTGAGTAGGAGTTGATTAGAAGTTTACCATAAAGAGCAAACGGCCAAAGAGACACAATAATCTCTACTTTTTGGTGCGTTGAGTTTAGCAAAAAAGTAGATTTAGGTGGAAACTGGAAAAGACGACTCACACTCACATGTCTCTACTCCTTCATGTACTTGATCTTGACAGCTTTTTCCCTAATAAGGCCACTACTCTAGAAAAAGAGTTGACGCTATCATCACTTCTTTGGTGACTTTGGACCTATGTTGGTGACAAATTTGTTTATTCAATTCAAATTGTTAATTTTGGATCCAAACAAATTTAAATTGTCCCAACCCCATGCATTAGGAAATACAAGTAGGAAGTGATTTGTCTCGCTTAAACAATTTTTGTTTTTTAAAATCTCAATCTTATAATAAATTGATAATGATGTTATGAATTAAGCGGTGTTGTATTTGACTTATGCTTAACTATAATCGAAGATGTAACATATAATAAAAAATTGATAATTGAAATAAATAAGAAATGCAAGGATTTACGTGACTCAACCTATTAGGCTTAGTGCTTAGTAGTCATAATGAGAAAATATGAGAAAATCATGAAGATAGGATACGGAGTACAAAACTAGGACGAAAACGAAATTGAACATGTTCAAGCGAAAGTGTGGTAAAAAGGCACTACGGCAATCTATTAGCCACATCCTCATAGACCTCATCATCAATGTTTAATGACATTAATGTTTTACAATTTCATAATTACAGAAAAGAAGTCTTCTAATTCAAATTATTTTCCTTTTTCTGAATTTATATCTTAAAGTATAAACTAGAACAAAATATATGACTAGTGAGATTCTTAGTTATATATGACTAGTACAATATGCTACATTAATTTCCTTAGCAACAACTCAATTTAACTAGAAAGACTAAGTTGAATCCTCTATCGAGCCCATCATCTTGTTCACATTTCAGTCAAAACTCGTTCAAGCTCACAAAATCTCTATTATTTTATACATGTGTAATTACAAATTATTACATCACATGTATGCATGGAAACTAAACTATGAAATATGGAAAAACATCTCATATATTGATATATAATAAGTGAATGCATTGAAAAATGAAAGAAATTAATTTTTAAAGCTCAATTGAAGCTCATATGTGCTCAAGCTTAAACTTTAAATGCAAAAAGTGCATTTGTGAACAAAGCTCAAATAAATCATACTCACAACAAGTCAGCCTCAAACAAAATGTTTAAATGCTCATTTTTGTTCGAGATATCTCGTACACTAATATTTTCTTATTCAACTAAGCTCAAAAAGACCAAAAATCTACTCAGTTCGACTTTGATCATTTATAACCTTATTCATAAGATTAGTCAAGAAACAACATTCGAATATAATTAAAGCCCATATATATTTCATAATCCATATGAATACTGCAGAAGTTAAACCGTCTATACATCAAATAGGAGTAGTTTAATGAATAAATAAAGTACTTCGTATAATCTATAATCCATAATCCATAATCCATATGAATAGAATTAAAGTTAAATCGTCCATACTATGGGTCTAGCAGGGTCCAGGGTCCAAACAGAGTCCTTTGCCTTTTTTTTCGATAATTTTTAATCGTCTTATTTTAGTGTACGAAATACGAATGTATGATTGCATATAGCACGAAAAAAAAAAACCTTATACATGAGAACATTAGAATTAATTTGACAAATCGTACAACTATGAAAGTGGGCGCCTATAAGTTTCTTACTTAGGGTTTTACTTTTACAAGGATTATTTTTTTTATTTAATATATTGAAAGGGTCTAAGTACGGGTCCATGGGTAGGGTCTGGGTATGATGGGTACATGGGTAGGGTCTGGGTCTGAATTCATTATACCGGAACCCTTACCCTACCCGATACCACCTAAACCCATACCCTATTCAGACCCACAGGGTCTTAAAAATTTGGACCCATATCCGTATTTTAGGGTAGGACCCGTTACTATCCCTAGTCCATATGCCGTATAGTTTATTGAAGAAGTACTCCCTCTGTTTTTTTTTTTATTATTATTTTTTTTTATTTTTTTTTAAGTTAGAGTTGGATTTGCACATTTGCCGAGACACAATTTTGACCATCAATATCTTTAATTAGAGGTTAGTAAAAATTATGAAAAAATTAATTTATAAAGTAGACATTATAACAAATCCAACAATGTATTATATGATCATATTTATATATTATATATTGGTAAAAAAAAAATTAAAATAATAATGATACATGAATAGTGGAAAATCTCAATGGTAGCTTATAAAAAAAAAAAAACAGAGGGAGTATGTTAACCAAATAGTCAAACACACCCATAAGGCATAAGTCTCCCTCCACTTGGGTAGGAAGAGAAATTCAAAAATGAAGCATACGCACAAACATGTGCTATATGTAATTTTAGTACACACTATAATGGCCCCTCTTCTCGAAACCAACACTCCACAACAAACACCACCTAAAACAACATCGATACCAACAACAATCTCCACACTTGAAACACCTTTCAATTCAAATCCTAATAATGCTTCCCTTTCGTCCAATTCTTTGGCATCTTCTCCTTCTTCACTCCTTCTTCCTCTGCTACTGCAACACCTCGTTGCTTTCTCCTCTTTCCGCCATTTTTAATCCCAAAAAACCTCCATTTCTAGCCATGAATACACCCACATTCCTCATCCTTTTTCTGTTAAACCTCTCATTTTCTCTCTCCTCTTCCCTCAACTCTGACGGTCTCTCCCTCCTCGCACTCAAATCCGCCATTACTTCCGACCCAACTCGCTCTCTCTCCTCCTGGTCCGAATCCGACCCGGACCCATGTCACTGGGTCGGAGTCGGCTGCAATGGCGACCGGGTTACTGACGTCACCCTCTCTAACAAAGCGTTAACTGGATATCTCCCTTCTGAACTCGGCGCTATTCTCTCTCTTCGTCGTCTTTCTCTCTCCTACAACAACTTCTCCAGTACTATCCCACCTCGTCTCTTCAATGCTACTTCTCTCGCTTCCCTCGACCTCTCTCATAACTCACTCTCCGGCCCGATTCCGGCCCAAATCGAGTCTCTTACGGGCCTCCGGTTCTTGGACCTTTCATCTAATTTTCTCAATGGGTCGCTTCCGAGTGGGCTCAGTGAGTTGACCCTTCTCGAAGGGACGCTGAATTTATCGTATAATCAGTTTTCCGGCGAAGTTCCGGCGAGTTTTGGAAGGTTTCCGGTGATGGTTAGCTTGGATCTCCGGCATAATAATCTCACCGGAAAAATTCCTCAGGTGGGGTCGTTGTTAAATCAGGGGCCCACTGCATTCGCCGGAAACCCTAATTTATGTGGGTTTCCGTTGAGTTCGCCGTGCCCTGAAGCGCAAAACCCTAATGTGATCGGAAACCCGGAAAATCCGAGTGACCCGAAGAACCCTAATTTGGGTAATGGGGAGAATGCAGAAAGTGGGGGGAAGAAGACGATTTCAATTTCGTTGATTTTAGGGGTTTTTGCTGTTTTGATTGCTGGGGGTATTTTGGTCTTTTTGTTTGTTGTGAGGAAGAATTTGAGGGCTAAGGAGGGTATAATGGGGAATTCTGGTGAGGAGAAGTTGGGGAAAGGGGAGATGGTGAGTCACGTGAGGGTGGTGGTGGGGGAGGAGGATGATGATGAAGGGCAAAATGGTAAATTTGTGGTGGTGGATGAGGAGGGGTTTGGGTTGGAATTAGAGGATTTGTTGAGGGCATCAGCTTATGTAGTGGGGAAGAGTAGGAGTGGGATAGTGTACAAAGTGGTGGTAGGCGGTGGTAAAGGATCGGGTGTGGTTCCCCCTACGGTTGTTGCGGTTAGGAGGTTGAGCGAGGCCGATGATGTCACGTGGCGGCTTCGGGATTTTGAGGCCGAGGTGGAGGCTATGAGTAAGGTTCAACATCCAAATATAGTAAGGTTCAGGGCTTATTATTATGCACAAGATGAGAAGCTCTTGGTGTCTGATTTCATTCGGAATGGCAGCTTGTACACTGCATTGCATGGTATAATCTCTCTTTCATTATTGTTTTGTGTTAATTAATGCTGCTAGTTCAAAATTCAAATTCTTAGTACTTTGTTCTTAGTTTAATTAATTGGTGAAATTATTTGTTTATGTTTGAAGACAAGGATATAAGTTTGTTGAGGTATCATTTAACAGGACTTGAGATTCAAACGTAGCGCATTTGATTTTTTAATGGAATGATTTACCTCGTAAAATGAATTCTAGCATGAATGGAAGAGCCTGCTCATGTGTAAAAACATGGTGACATGGGTTTAGATATTATTATAATGATCAATCTGATGTTGAAATAGAAATGAATATATTGGTATTCTACTTGGTCTTATAGATTGGTGTTACAGTAAGAAGTTGCATTTGGCAGTGGTGTAGGTTGTGAGATTGTATATGTACTTGTTATTGTGGCAGAAGAAGAGGGTTAACATTAGTACATATGAGGCCTTTCTGTTTGTCTAACAAACTACTCATATTGTAGCCTGGCACATGTGATATGAAATTCAAGAATCAAATCATAGACCTAGTTATCTAGTGTTTAAAAAAGGTTCATGGAGGCGATAAGAGTCCTTTTCATGAGGCACATTTCTTGAAATTTAGGATTACTAGCTACACTAGTTCAGAACCCGAACAACCCATGCCTTGCATGGTTTTACACTAATATTTCACACACACACACACACACATATATATATATATATGTATGTATGTATTTTTTTTTTGTTTAAATATTTTGAATTATTCTTGTTGTGCATCATTTCCTAAATACAAGTAAATTGCAAACTCAATACTCATAATACAATAAGACTAAATAATTAAAGCTTCTTCAAAAGACTAACAAAAATTTTTCTAAGGTGATGACACGTGTATTTTGGGGATAATTATGGGGATTACTTTAGTATATAAGTATAGATTGCACGGGTTATAAACTTAATGATTATGTTTGACTTATATTACTTCTGTGATTTTATTGTTCCTTGAATCCTAGATAGTTTCTATGTCACCTATAGACTATGGTATTATTCGTACTAGCACTACAACAATATAGTCACTTCTTACTAAATACAAGTAAATTGCAAACTCGATACTCATAATACTAACATTAAAAGAAAATTAAATAACTATAGGTTTATGATATATAGATATTCAGCACTGAAAAATCCTTAGGTGGCTTATAAAAGTTAAACTCTTACGTTACCTTGTCCTAAATACTATATATGTATTCAAACAATTTAAAACTATTTATTTTCAATTCAAAATTTAGTTTATAACATGGCACGCTTATGGGACCCTCTTTATGCACTTGAAAATTCATCTTTTATGTAGATAGATTTATGTAAAAACTGGTTGCATATATTAAATTAATGCTATTACTGTGCCTTTATGTGCTTTGCGTGTCTCTATATGCCCTAGCGTGCCTTTTCAAAAACTGCTATTATCTGATTTGATTTCTGGAATTTTTAAAGACTTTTTGCCGTGTGCATTTAAAGACATGTACAGTATAGAGTAAGTCCTCCGATCAGTTGAGTTAAAAGTAAATGGTGAGGCTGGAGATGCTAAAATTGTTATCAATACCATTGTTGCTGGGTCTGTAGTTGTTAGGATTTAGCAGCGATTAGTCTAATTACCATCTGAGTACCCGACTAGTTGAGACTACGTGTTGAAATTAGTGGAGAAGCATTGTGAAAGATAGATTACAATTTACAAGTGGTCGGACTTAGGAGGCTATGAACCAATTTCTAATCAGCCTTTAAGATTAGGAAAAGATGGTGATATTTCGTTCATTTTTACCGAGTTAGATAATTACATATTGATATGGATGAATTATGTAGTGATATTATCCTTTTTTTAAATTGCCTTTTCCACATCTAAAACAAAGGAAAATCATTCTATCAAGGGTGGGGACTCTTAAAAAAGAATATCTTCGATAGAATAGCTGTGTTCAAGGTTCAAACCCCGTACTATATAACTGTGTCCTTAAAAAAGATATTGTATTTGTCATCAAATAGCATATGTTGGCAAGAGAGGATCAGAGGCATCAGGAAAATGGTAGACAATTGGTGGTGCAACTGTGCAAGACTGTAGGAACTAGGGAAAACTTATTGCTATTTGTAACTGCACCATACTTTTAAACTGTAAAGATATGCGATAAACCACAAAAGTTGAAAACTTGAAAGTTAGGAGATCTTGCCTCCTATGCCCTACAGGCCACACCACTCGGTCTACAATATTTACATGTTATTCAAATGGCTGAACAAGCAAGGGAGTCTTGATACTCCTGAACTAGCGAACTACGGAACATGGGAATTTTTTTGCTTGGAAACCTGATACTTGGTTGGGGTGTGTCCTGGTAACCTGCCAAGCTAGCATGTGCTTTTAAGTACAGTAATTGTTAATGTAGGGTGTATGTGGTGCATGATATTGAGCCTCTGGCTTTCCTTATATTTGAAGGGGGTGGTGGGTGGGAGAGTAGTGTTGGGGCCTTAGGAGTTAGAGTTGATAAGAGGCGTAAAACGAATTCCATCTCCTAGCATGGTTGGCCTTTTGAAGAGAAGAGGGATACTCACTTACAATAATGGGGGGAATAAGTAACCGTCTTCTGTATTTGTAGCTTGTAAGATATAAAGTAAATTGCAGACCATGCTTTGAAATAGTTTCTTCCTTTGTTTTCAAAGCATCACGTTCTACTTGTTTACATGTAGATAATGGGCTAATGTATCTGTGCAGAATTGATTAAAATGGCTGGGGTTTTTTTAATTGTTGAAAGATTGTAATTGCTTTGGATACATGTATTTTTCTGACATTACATAGGATTCATGGATTAGATCTTGTGACATAATGATGATTACCAACAAACATGTTATTTGTGTTGTTTTCCCTGGTATTCCTTGGTTTATCTTGTTGATACATGCCTCTCTACTTCCATATACAATACACACTAGATCATCAATTGCACTAGACACTAGATAATGTATCCCACCTATACTGCCACATATCCAACTGTTAAAACTATGTGATGCTAGTATGCTACTGCAGTACTGCATTATCATGTGATCATTTGTCTGAATGGCACTTTAAATGGACTTATTTTGAGTATCTTACAATATCTGTATCATGAGCTTTCTGGGAACAGTTTTCCCATAACCTTTGCCTCCTTGCTTTTTCTTCACTTGAGTTGAACAGCAATCTTCAGTGTTGATTCAATGTGTGTCAATTGTTAGTGTAAGGAGATTTTTCTGTGATTATAATCAATGCCTGTGTCACTAGTCTTATCAGTTCCATGATCTAAGCTGTGTGCTTCTATGCCGGTGACTTGGTTTTGAAGGTGGATCCTCCAATGAGTTGTCACCTTTATCATGGGCTTCAAGACTGAAAATCGCACAAGGCACTGCAAGGGGTTTGATGCACATTCATGAATGCAGCCCGAGAAAATATGTTCATGGAAACATTAAATCATCCAAAATCCTACTTGACGAGGACCTTAATCCGTACATCTCTGGGTTTGGTATCAATCGTCTCCAATGTGGGCGTTCAAAATCTGCAAACCCTTCATTAAAAAGGCCCAGTTTAAGCCAGTCTTTCTTAACAGGCTCCAAGATCTTGGGTCCATCTGTGGTTGCCTATTCAGCCCCAGAGGTCCAAACTAGTGGTGGCAAGCTCACCCAAAAATCTGATGTTTACTCATTCGGGATTGTACTGATGGAGATATTAACTGGTCAGCTACCAAGTGCTGGACCTGACAACGATGAAAAGGGCTTACAAAGCCTTGTGAGGAAGATTTTTAGGGAAGAGAGACCTTTATCAGAGATCATAGATCCAGCTCTGCTGCATGAAGTTCATGCCAAGAAGCAGGTATTGGCCACATTTCATATGGCTCTAAACTGCACAGAGCTGGACCCTGAGCTGAGGCCAAGGATGAGAACTGTTTCCGAGAGCCTTGATCGCCTCAAGTTTCAATGAGAAGGAAGATGGTAAATAATGTGTAAATGTTTGTTAGAAGCATTAGGTTGACTCAATTGATGTAGAGTATCTTTGCCTATCTTCAGTAGTGATATTTTGTAGTAGTATGCCTTGTGTTGCTGTCTAAACTAGGAAGTGTGAAGAGTGTAGAATTTAGAAAGAATTATCTCGCTACATATTCTGCCTGGATTTCTTTTTGCTTTGCTCTGAGGTTCAGGGGGTTCATGGGAAGATTGGGAACCAACAGAAGTGGCTTGACTATTTAGTGACCTGTCTAGTTGATTGAATGACATTCGATGCTAACACGATTAATTTTTGAATTGATATACTTATATTGGCTTTTAATTTCAGTAGAATATGGTCTAGTGGAGCGACTGTACAAAGAATAGCTAATTGTGTTTTGTTTTTCTAACAATCTTTTGTTTTCCAATTGGTTTACACCGTAAACCTGTAACAGAGCAAATCTTAAGGTGAACCTTGTTCCTGTGATTGATGAACTGCGATAGTAATTTTTTGACTGGATGCAGTAATAACCTTGGCAAACTGGTAACTGGTAAGAGTGGCAACAATCTGAAGGTAAGGATAGAATTTAGGAAAAATTGCGAGGAAGGTCTTTTTAAGTGGTCGATCTTGTGTGGTAGGTCCTTTTATGAAAAAAGTGTCATTAAAGGTCCTTTTATGGCGATTGGGTTGTGAGGAGGGTCCTTTAATCAAACTCCGGCGTTGACCTACATTTTCCGGCCAAAAAAAGTCACGTGTTGTGCAATCAGCTTTTTTTTTTTTTTTTCTTTTTTCTTTTTTTTTTCTTTTCTTTCCACTTCATCTTCTTCCTCCCTTTCAATTCCACACCTCCATGAATGACAATTCCAGCCAGACCTCCGCCCACTACACCTCCACCTCTGGCAACAAGGAACCCCATCCCACCAGCCACCACCCTAGTCGCAACCCAAAAACACGAGGTTTTTAGACCAACCATTCCTAAGACAATACAAGTGAAGGTCAAGAACGAAATGTCGACAGCCATGTGAAAAAGCCACACCCAAATTTTACATAGCTAATTGAACCTTAATACAATTCTTCCCTAAAGCAAAGGGCTTAGATTATTTAGCAGGAAATTGGAAATATTTCTCACCCAAAAATTTTCACATCAAATTTCTTATAATTTTACCGATTTTGATCTCTCCTCAATTCTCCTCTAATATCTATATTAAGTACATAACAATATCCTGAAATCTGTACAACTATGATTTCAAGCAAAGCTCTGTGTATATTTTATGCAGCATTGTAGCCCCAAAGACTGGAGATCGACAAATCAATAGAAAAGTTGATGTTACAAAATGATATGCATAATTTCTACCAACGAATGAAAACAGACAAATGCCAAACATTAAATGAAGAAAATTCATTGCAAGATCAGAATACCTCAACAAGTATACTCTGAACCAAAGCTGGCAATCATCTACATCACCTGAAAGTAGTCGAATGCATACGAATGTGAAACGAAATTAGGGGAAAACCCCAATGGAGATCAAAGGGTCAAAGAATCGAAAATGGATGATCCAAAATTAGGAGAATTGTATATGGTGGTTTTTTTGGGTGGTTTCCATCCACCGTATTCCAACGGAGGTGGTTGGAGTCTCGTGTTTTGGGTTTCGACCAGGGTGGTGGCTGGTGGGATGGGGTTCCTTGTTGTCGGAGGTGGAGGTGTGGTGGGCGGAGGTCTGGCCGGAAATGCCATTCATGGAGGTGTGGAATTGAAAGGGAGGAAGAAGATGAAGAGGAAAGAAAAGAAAAAAATAAAAAAGAAAAAAAAAAGCTGATTTAAGTGGTCACGTGACTTTTTTTGGCCGAAAAATGTAGGTCAACGCCAGAGTTTGGTCAAAGGACCCTCCTCATAAGGTCGACCACTTAAAAAGACCTCAGTACATTAATAAGTTTTTTTTTAATGGTAAGAAGGGGACTCATTTTAGGAGGGAGATAAGAGAAATCCCTTAAATGAGTCCCATCAAATTTGATCCCCAGATCTCAGGGATATGAAGTGAGAGCAATACCACTATTCCATCACCTCAACCTTACATTAATAAGTTTTATGTCACCTAATTGATTATGTTATTCACATGGCGAACATCAATTGGTGATTTCTTCTACGGAATACTCCATAGCTTAAAGATGAATGTAAATTAACTCAGTTTGACATTGGAACCCTAATGGGATAGGTGATTAAAACGTATTTTTCACAGTAGGGATTAGGGAAGAGCTTGACATCTATCTACAGCTTCCCCAGCCCAGATGATTATTGTCTTCCGATAGGTAGGAGAAAGAGAATGTAAAGTAAATCATCTACGAGTTTCCCAAATGTGGGTAATAATTATTGACTACTCCTAGTTTATCCCACATTGCTTAAGTCATTAATAATTAAGCTACTCACTCGAATCACTTGATAACCAGCAAACTTTTTGATATGGGGTTTAAATAAGTAGGCTTCTCACTTGAATTTCATGGGGAAACCTAAGTTTGATTAAATCAAACTCAAATTGAGAAGAATATGTCAAAATGGCACAAATATGAATTATATGATAAGGTAATGTATAACTTAGGAGTTAAGTATTGAAATAGAGACTAAATTTTGGGTAAAGTTACGGCCAAGGGACTAAAATTTGGTTACACAGTTTAGATGGAAGTTATTGATGACAATTTTTCTTTTTTTATTTTTCTTTTTCTTTTTATTTTTATCCATTTAGTTGTTAAAAAAAAATTAATAACACTTGCATACAATTTTCAGTAAGTTAGTTTCCACCTAAATTTTTGCTCCAATTCTAGTGAAACCTTAGATTGTGTGAAAGCTCAGGTTAAAATTAATCCTTGTAATAAACAAAAATTATTTATTACATGACATCTTGTTAAATAAATTAAAAATTTGATCCAGTCATTATTACAGTGGGGTTCGCTTTTAAGGAAAAAATTATTGATTTATTTACGAAAATGTCATTTCATTTACCATAGTGATAAACTTATATTTTCTCCTAGATTATTTCCCAAGACTAATCTTAATAATCATCACAAGTAAAACCCAAAAATAGAAAACAAGTTGAGACGAAAAGCGAAAACTAAAGCAAAGGGAAGGGAAGTTTTTGAGCAAACATTTTGGTACTTTTTTTTTTTTTTGGTAATACCATTATAAATTTCTCGTTTTCGTAGCATAAATGGGCACATGACCAATCGACCCTTCATTGGAAAGTTATTGAGATTTGAGACAACGTTTCACCTCCAACCAGAATCGCTTTAAAATCATTTGTAGATTGAGAAATATATATATGCACCTTCAATAATTTCAAGACACGATTAACAATTATGAATGAATAAAGTGCAATAAAATGACTTCATACATTAAGTATACGAATTTAATGAGTGTAAAAATATAGTACACTAGTTAACTTTATAACCAATTAAGTGTAGGCTCACTTGGTTAAATTCTTAACTTAGATACTAGAAGTTTGGATTCGAATTCTATCAAATGAGGGTATCTGGGGTAAATGAGGGTAAATTCTGGGAAAAAAAATAGAAATAAAAAAAAAAACCTACCGTAGTTAACTTTATGAAGTGTAAAAGTAATTGAAGACATCCAAAGCAATATCCATAGGAATACGTAACTGTAACAAAGGCGGCAATCAATGAGTGAGCTACCCATTTATTGAACATCAAAATATAGCCAACCCTTTTTTTTTTTTTTTTTTTTTATTTCTTTATTTTATTAGTATTGTTTTATCACGTATAAAAGAGAAATGGACTATCACGATTTTACAGTACAGATTGAAAACGACGCGTATCCGATACTAGTCTAGTATTGCTTGTGATCCGGTGTGTGCGCACATCTCTCTCAATGTCACGGGGGTTAATCTTGTAGCACCTCTATAACTCTATTTTATTATCGGGTTAATTTGTTAAAAATTTAAAATATACTTCATTCATTTTTAAATATTTGCTCTATTTTTCATGCGGTGAGATTTAGGAGAAATTGGAGAATGCAATAAAATATGGAGGTAGTGGAATAGGTAGAAGAATAAAAAAAATGTAAAAAACAAAAGTAGTTGAGAGAATTGGAGGAGAGAGAATATGAAATTAATAAAATATGATTTATGGTGGGTCCACTAGTTGAGAGAAATGAATTAAATATTGTAAAATCTTTCCAAATACGGAAATGGAGCAAGTATTTAAAAACGGCCGGAAATGAATAGTGGAACAATTATTTAAAAACGGAGGGAGCATGAAGTACTCCGTAGTTTTTTTTGTTTGTTTTTTTTTTTTTTTTTGACAATAGCAAAATCCTAACTATTACAAACTAAACGATCAACAACACACTAAAATGAGCTAAACTCGCTCTTACAAACCAACATAAACAATAGCAAATACTTAAAAACATCTTGTTTGAAGGAACTCGGTTGCTTGAAACCATAACCACGGTTCTTGGATCGTACTTCTTTCTAGTCGTCGTCACAAGAACTAGCACAACAATTGAGATAAGGACAGAGTAACTTTTGTTGTTGAAGAGCAAACCATCTATAGGCAAAATACTTGGTAAAAAGAGAGTGTCAAGGTCACACCGGGTGAGAATAGTCACAACTTGTGACTTAGTACCATAACCAGGTACTACTTTTTGTCCCTTTTCAAGAAGAGGGACAATAAATGACATGTTATGAACCCCCAAACTTTGTATCTGGGGAGCCGCCTTCAGGGCAATAATTAGAGAAACCATTGCAAATTTTAAATGAGAATTAGACAAAGTCAATTCTCCAAATAACTTCCGACCAAAGAAATCGGAAGTGAACACGAACAAAGACCACAAAATCTCAACCAAATTTTTACCGAAAACTACAACCAACAACTTAGAACCAAAAAAGGCATTAAAAATACCTAATAATCCTTTTGGCAGAGACTAACACAAACAATAGCTCCCACACCAGCACTCTTTTATCCTTTAGAAAACCAACTACCAAAAGAAACCTCCAAACAAGGCATGACCATTCCACCTTAAAGTGAGAAAAGCACCACGGGTCTACGTCAACCAACCCATAAGATACCAAACTTCCAAATAAAGTACTATTAACAAGGAAAATACAACTACCAAAGAAGAACAACAAAACCTAGAAAAGAAACTCCCACATCACAAGAGGAGTAGTTACAAAGCTTAAACCAAAGAGAAAGTTAAGAAAAACGAACCAGAGGAGCAGCCCAACGACCATTACCCAAAGCAAAGACCCCCAAAACCCTAACCCTAACTTCACCGATTCCGTCACAAAACATTCTTGACGGCGGCATTAGGCCTAGCCATCCAACGCAAGGAACCCGAAACCCTAACCCTAACTTCACCTTCCGTCACGATCAAAATCACCGATAACCACTGACGGCGGCGTTGGGCCTAGCCCTTTGTCCTTGTTTTGCTAAAGCACCCCCCCCCCTTCTTCTTAATCGGGATAAAAACCTACAAACACACCTTTAAAACAAATCTAAGAAGAAATTAAACTCTTAGAAATGGAAGGCTAGGGGCCAAAGGTTTGTTTGTGAGAGAAGAAGCAAAAATAAAGGAGAAAAACAGAGGAGAAAAGAAAGAGGAGACTCACCGGAGTACGGTTGCGGCTAGGGGTGTACAAAAAATAGACCAGATTTGAAACCCGACCTGAACCGACCTGAATCGGACCGGACCTGGACCGGACCTGCTGATTCAGGTCCGGTCCCGGTCCTTGAAAATAAGCGATTCCGGTTTTCCGTTCCGGTTCGGGTAAGACCCGGAAAACCCCGGTCTGGACCTGAAACCCTGAATTAATAATTAATTTTTTTTATATATATATAAAATAGCAACTCAGCAAAACCCTATAACTAATATCCTATATCAGAGTTTCTGATGGTCCAAATTCTCTCCTCTCCTCTCCTCTCTCTTCTCAAACCCTAGATCTAATCTCCTCTCCTTGCCCAACACCGACAACCACCACAAGAAAACCACCGGAGTAGACCAGCAACCATTATTGCAACTTCCGGCAATTTGGCGTCAACCACAGCAGCCGTTAGCCCGTTACCACCATTTAGCGTCGCAAGAAAACCACCGCAACAACCTCTCCTTCTCCTTCATCTCGGACCCAAGAAAACCACTGTGATGGGTGGTTTTTATTTTTTAATTTCAGATTTTTATTTTTTGTTCATTCGTTCGTCAATTTCCAGATTTTGATTTCTTATTCATTCATTCGTCAATTTCCAGAATTTTTTTTTTCGGATTTTAATTTTTCTGTTTTTGAATTTTTATTATTCAATTTTTATTATAGATACGTTTTTGTTCAATTTGTATATTAGATCTATTTTTTTTTTGTTAATTTGTGTATTCAATATTCTGATCTTCTTTTTAAAGTCGTGAATTCTTGACTTGTCTGCAAATTCAGACCACTTGTGTGGATCGTGTTTTGCCTGTGGATCGTGTTTTGCCTTTTGTATTCTTAGTTCTCGGAATATGATGAAATTAAGAGTGCATAAGTGAAATATTAGTGGGCTTTTGTGGTTGAATATCAGTATACCACTAAAGGCACTAGTCTTCATTTGTACATAATTGAAATGTAAGTTCTGTGTACAGATTATATTTTTTAGTTTTGAGTTACTCTCGATAATCAATATATATATACAAAACAGGTCCATTCAGGTCTAAACCCGGACCGGACCTGTTAAATCAGGTCCGGTCCCCGGTCCTTAAAATTACCTAATTCAGGTCCCCGGTCTAAACAGGTCCGGTCCAGGTCCGGTCCGGTTTTGGACCG